GTTGAAGGGTCAAATGTGGAAAAGCAGAAAAGCATAGAAGAAAGAACTAATGCCACATGGTGGGTTGCCCTATTATAGGTCCTAACCTAATATCGAACCCACTATGGCCAAATCTAACTTCCTTACCCACATAGTGTTAAAGTGTACTTATTCTATAGGTTAACATGTTGATACGTGTTAATACCATTTTAGCTCATTATCATACCCATCACTTCTTGCTTAAGCAGAATTGCAGCTCTTACTTCCAAGTTCCTTGCAGTTACCATTTACTGTTAAGTTCCAACTTCTACCGTTGAGCAAGCTCTCCTTAGTTCCCAAAATCTAAAGGTAACCATTAATCTATTTAACCACGCTTATGCTAACTTGTTTAAGCTAATGTCTTACAAGATACAGGCCTGTAGATTCCTTACAGCTGAATATAATAAAGGCAAGCCAGCCCTGTGGGCTACATGTGGTGAGATTAATCTGTGGAAGGACTACCTTAGATATGATAAATTAAATATTGAAAGCACAGTTTAAATTAGACACTTGCATAACTTCTGAATAAAAGTGCACATTTGCATTTTGCAGATATTTTAATGATCTCTGGTTCAGTTGTTTGATATAATTTTTAAAAGGAGCTGCCTGGCCACAAACTGATGACAAATTTTAAAATATAGTAACAGAGTACATCTTTTTTTAATCTCTAGGTTTAGAAATAATGTCTCTTGTACCAGAGTTATCTAGTCACAGGTCTTAAGTTTATAAGATGAAGCAGATGCAAACAATGCACATGTTAAATTTATCCCAGTAGACTGATCATCTATCTCTTTTCAGCCTCTCAAATGACAGAGAAACTTAAACTTCATAGCATTTCTAATGCTCTACTCTTCTGAACCCTTCCATTGATTCTGCCTCCTGTATTTATGTTCTAATATATCATTGAGCCTGGCTAATAAAAGCTATCCACTGATCCTAGAATAATCTTTTTTGGATGCAATACTGTTAAGGTGTGCTTCTTTTAAAGCTTCAAAAACCTAAGTTGGTGGTGGTCTGATGTTATTTAATATTTATTGTACACATTTACTGTGTATAAATTAAGACAAAATGAATATCTTAACAGTTGGTATAATTGTGATTTGGTTTCCGTTAACTTGTTTTTGACACCTAGTATCTAGATTAGTTTCAGTGGGAACAGGCCGAAGTCCTAAATCTTAACACTTTCATTTTTTATTTCAGATTTTTAATCAAATTCATGCTTTTGGTTAGTTATTGAAAAAGATCAAATTACAATATTCAAAACTGTTCTGCAGATGGTATACAGCACTGACTTGTGAAATTCCATAAGCATCCAAGTGCCATATGGGAATCTTAAGTGACTGTTTTCCTACCCATCTCACGCCAAGTCAGATTGCCCTTTATTTTAAAATTGTTTGAACCAGTTCCACTTTACTTCCTTGACTTACTATCCGCTTACTTCCCACGCTTGCTCTGTTCCTCTAGTCTTCTCTCTTCCATCCTATATTCCTGCATAGTTGGAAGATGCCTTTCAGTTGTGAGTACTAACTTTGAGATTCACAGAGTAGTTACAAAATAAACTATCTTAACTTGCTTGATTTCTTTATGAAGCATTTTTGTGGTAGACTTTACCAAGTTTAATACCAGTTCCTTTTTGTTGGCTCAAATGCTGTGATCTAGAAAGTAGTAATTCTTCTTCTTCTGCTGTCCCTGTGGGTGCTCCACTTTAGGTGTTGGTGCATCCTGGTGCCGCTGATCGGAGATTTTTGGTAGCAGTGCCTGGTTGGGACACGCATGCACAGTAGCTGCCTTGTGGTACTCTTGGCGCTTGCGCATCCTGACCCCCTCAGTTCTTTCTCAGCTGTCTTGGGCTGCAGATGGAGCTCCAACAGCAGTCTCTTTAAAACAACCTAAAATAGAGAAATAGAACAATTTAGATAGCAATTAGAGTTTAGTTAGTCAATAGTGTAGCAATAGTCTTAAACTTCAGTTTATAACTATTTAGACTTCCAAAAAAAAACCTCGGGGAGATCCCTCTCCTTCTTTATTTCTGTTTAATTAGAAAATTAGATAAAGACCATGCCAGGCTCACCTGTATTCAAAAGATGCACTTTTTGCAAGGACGCGATGCCTGTCTCAGACGGCCACTCACAGTGCGTCTGTTGCTTAGAGGAGGCACACGTTCCCCAGAAATGTGCCCACTGCAACAACCTCAAAGCCAGAGCAAGGAGAGATAGGGATCTTAGGATAATTTTTAGTCTAACGAAAAAATCCCTTACTCCTCCATCGGACGCTAGAAAGCCCCCAGGAAGGGACTCTCCAGGCACCTCCTCCCTGGATAGAGCAAGTACCCTTTCCTCCAAAAAATCAAGGAAAAGGGAAACATCACTGACTCAGGGAGAACTGTTAAAGAGAAAACGGTCTCCAGTGAGATTACTACTCTTGGTGCCGATGGCCAGCAGGGTGAGCGCATTCGATGCTGCAGGCACCTCCGGCACTGTCCGCATGGGGAGTATGAACGGTAAAGGCAAGGAGTCAAGTGGTAGGCATAAGACAGCCTCCTCCTCCACGGCACCAACCACTCCCAGGAAAGACATGCTGCTGACAGCACCGAAAACGACAATGCCACCCTGGTACAGATTCCTAGGGAGCAAGTACCTGCAAGACCTAAACCGCCAACATCAGCACCAACCAAAGCCACTCACAAGAGGGTGGCACCAATGCAGGTGCCTGAACATATCTACTCGGCACGGACTACCTCGGCTCCAGACATGCTGATAACCTCCACACCAGGGTCTCCCATTCCTGGCACCGAAAAACTAGGACTCAATGTCTGTGTTGCACTACTCAAGCAATGAGAAGGACGACATGGAGGAGGGAATATTCTACTCTGTACACTCCTCCCTTTCCGGTACCGAACCCCAACCATCCCACACAGGTACCAGCGACCATCCTCACAGAGACCTACCCCCATGACTGGCTAACCCATGGATGTGCCCACCCTTTCCATTCCCGATGCAATGGGCACACTGTCACCCATGGTCGGCATACAGATCACAACTGCAAAGGATTCACACATCTCAAAGAAAGCAGGTATGACCCCCTACGGAGACGGCCACAGAACACTCAGAGGCACCTGAGGACACAATAATGGAGTTGGAAGACACCACACAGGATCTCTCACCAGAACATAACTCCCCTTCATCCCCAGATGAGTCTTCCCCAAACCTGCCCACAGTAGCAGACGACTCAAAACAATTCCAAGAATTGTTTAGGAGGGTAGCACAAAGCCAAAACCTCACACTCAAAGAGGTGTCTGAGAATCAACACCAACTATTAAAGATTCTACACCCAGCATTCACAACAAAAATAGCAGTACCAGTGAACGACGTATCAATGGAACCCATGGAAATGATATTGCAAACACCAGCCATACCACCTATGAGCAAAATAACCAACACAATATTATGTCCCCAACAAAGGCATAGACTTTTTATTCTTCCACCCACAACCAAATTCCTTGGTGGTGGACGCCATAAATTGGGAGTAAATTTAAGAACACATCTCAAGACAAAGAAGCCAAGAGATTAATCTTTTTGGCCGAAAAAGTATACTCGTCTGCGACACTCCGCACGGCGAACTGTACCCCCCCCTCTTGGTGAAGTACGACCACGACAACTACCAAAAACTCAACGAGTTCCTACTAAATATTCCGGAGGAAAAGAAAGAAGCTGTTCCAAGCCATCGTGATGGAGGGACAACTAGCAGCCTGAACAGCACTACAAGCTTCCCTTGATACAGCAGACACAGCAACCCATACAACAGCTACTGCCATAGTCATGAGGAGAGCCTCCTGGCTACAAGCCTCAGGAATCCCATGGGAACTGCAAACCACAGTAAAGATCTCCCATTTGACAGGGAGAAATTTATTTTAATCAAAAACTGATGATATCCTGCACTCAATGAAAGACTCCCGTGCCACACTCCGTACTTGGCCATATATACACACCCAAATAGACGCAGACAATTCCAACCGTATAACAGGAACCTTGACAACCTGAACCAACTACCACAATGTCCATTCGACAGCTCCAGGCCTTGCCACCAAGCACAGAGATGTCAGCTACCACAAAACCAGGCCTCATGGTCCCAAACGCTGTCTAATAAGCCACAATTTTGAGGATTTTGTTGAGGGTCTGACCAACCTCCCACAACTCCCAGAGCAAATTACATCAAATACCCAAACTTTTGGCCACCGACTTTGACCATTTTACCTAGCGAGGGCATCCATCACCACAGACAGTTGGGTACTGGAAATATCAGGATATACCACCATCCCTTTTACACTTACACACACACACACACACCCCTCTTCAGGGACCCTTCTCATGAGCATCTTCTGAGACAAGAAGTAAACCATCTTGTACAGCTAGGTGCTGTAGAACAGGTTCCAGTAGAATACAGAGGGAAAGGGTTCTATTCCCACTACTTTATAACACAAATGGAGGATGGAGAACATCTTAGCTCTCAGGAAACTCAACAAATTAGTTCGTATCCACAAATTCAAAATAGTCACACTGACATCAAAAATCCCAGCACTGGAAGAAGGGGATTGATTTTCAGCTCTCTACTTACAAGACGCGTACTTTCACATCACTATACACTCCGCACACAGACGATTTCTATGATTCACAGTAGGCAGAGACCACTTCCAATACAGTTCGGACTATCCACAGCTCCGAGAGTCTTCACCAAGACCCTGGCAGTAGTAGCAGACAGGGAATCATGATATTCCCATACTTGGACGACAGCCTGTTAAAGGGTCACACTTGAACAGAAGCAACAAACTTTACACAGAGAACTGTAATGCTCTTCCATACTCTGGGCCTACAGATAAACGAGAAGAAATCGACACTAGTTCCGGTGCAACAACTAGAATTCATTGGCCCTTACGTAGACTCAGCAAAAGCTTCACTACCAAGGTCCAGATTTTACACACTGACCTCTCTCATATCTGTGATCAGAAGCAGTCCGACAGTCTCTGCACAAACATGCCTGCAACTATTACGACACATGGTTGCCTCTACTTTTGTAGTCAAACAGCGCATGTGTAGTTGTGCATATCTCCAGGGGTAGCTAAGCACGGTTTACATACCAGACAGACACAACCTAAACAAAATCCTGTCGCTACCACCGAAAGTCACACAGTCCCTAGAATGGTGGACAATCCCGAGCAATGTTGGAATTGAACCCCTGTGCACAAAAGTCCCTGCATTCATCCTAATCACCACAGATGTCTCACTGATAGGAAATGTTTGCATGCATTTCGAACTGCTCATAGTTCGAGCATACTGATGTGTAATAATGACTCCTCGGGAGACCTTTTCCCTTGGATTTTGTGGGAGTTGAAGTGTGCATCCCATCCTATCGATAAACAAATTGGTAAGAATAATAATAGACAACTGTATGTTCTACATAAGTAGACAGGGAGAAGCGCGTTCTCATTACCTATGCACAGAAGCTATGAAATTATGGAACTAGTGTATTACCCACAATATTACTATTGCTGTGTCTTACCTCCCAGGACACAATGGCAGACACATTGAGCAGACCATTTCCCTAGGAACACGAATGGGAGCTGAATGACAGAGTAGCACAACACATATTCCACATGTCCCACAGTGGGGACTAACAGACAGACCTGTTCACTACAACAAAAAACCGCACATGCCGAAGCTTTTGCTTGCGAGCAGGACTAGGACCACACTCCCTAGGAGATGCCTTCCTCATCCAATGGAATGCTCCCCTTCTGTACACATTCCCGCTATTATCCAAAGTACTACACAAGATACAGACAGAGCCAGGATCATACTGATTGCCCTGACATGGTCCAGACAGACATGGTTCCCATACCTGAACCACCTAATATGGTGCCCGCCATACAACCTTCCCATTCAACAGGATCTCCTGTCTCAGGACAAGGGTCGAATCTTTCATCCAAATCTACCAAAACTCCACCCGAAGGCCTGGCTCCTTGATGGCTCCAATGCGACAGACTAGCCTCTTCAGAAGAGGTTAAAGGTTAAAAATGTATTACTAAACAGCAGAAAAATCACCAAACGCACTACTTACCTGCATAAAGGGAAGAGGTTCACTTTGTAGTGTCACGACAAACACAGACCTGCACTTACAACACCAATCCATGAAATCCTTGAGTACTTGCTATACTTGAAACACTCAGGGCTGTCCATTAGTTCACTCAAGATTCACCTCACGGCCATATCCACCTTCCACCATAAGATTGACAGTTTCACAGCCTTCATGCATCCAATTACAAAACGCTTTCTTGCAGGAATTCAGAACATGAAGTCCGCATGGGATCTAAACTTAGTCCTCAGAGGACTTACCAGAGCCACCTTCGAGCCTCTTACTACCTGTTCACTACTACAGCTATCAATGAAGGTAGCATTCCTAGTTGCGATCACCTCAGCATGTACAGTGAGTGAGATTGGGGCCCTCATGGCTCAACTATGTGACCACATCCTAAATTTGTACCAAAGGTACCCTTATCATTCCAGGTCAGTCAACTTACACATCTCCTTGCGTTCTATCTAAAGTCATGGAATCTGTTCTCCACACTAGATGTTAGAAGAGCACTAGCATTCTTCCTATAGAGAACAAAACCTTTCCGTACGTCACCAAGACTCTGCATCTCCACCACCACTGGATGATCGAAAGGCATAGCCATTTTAAAATGGGCTATCAAAATCCATTTTGATTATTGCATCCACCTATGTTATCGGCAACAAAAGATAGAACCCCCACCAGGGATCAGAGCCCATTCAACGAGAGCCGTTTCTACCTTGACTGCTTTTCTACATAATGTCCCAATCAAAGAAATATGCCAGGCTGCCACTTGGGCTTCAGTACACGTGTTCACAAACAACTATGCAATAACGAAAAGCTTTGAGAATGATGCAATACTCAGCCTTATGATATAGTCATCAACTGTGCAACCTACTCCGGAACCCAACCTTCCATAACTGGGTACTGCTCTATAGTCACCTAAAGTGGAGCACCCACAGGGACAGCACTCTTAAGAAGAAAAGAAGGTTATTCACCTTGTGCAGTAACAGAGATTCTTCGAGATGTGTCTCCCTGTGGATGCTCCACTACCCACCCTCCTCCCCTCTACAGAGTTCTCTATATGAGCTTTACATAGAGAAGGAATTGAGTGGATCGGGATGCGTGAGCGCCAGCAGTACCACAAGGAGGCCACTGTGCACGCACATCCCAACCAGGCACTGCTACCAAAAGTCTCCGATCAGCAGCGCCAAGACGCACCAACGCCTAAAATGGAGCACCCACAGGGGGACACATCTTGAAGAACCTCAGTTACTGTACAAGGTGAGTAACCTCCTCTTTCATCTGAATGAAGCAGCTGCAAAGAGAATACATGTTATTAGTATATACAATGCTGTGCCTTTTCAAAAACAATCTGTGTATTGTCAGAACTTCTGCATTATTTCATATCAACACAAGGTGGCATTTAAGTTGCATTAAGCTTGAAGTAGCACCACTAGGTATAGCACAATAAAGGACAGAAAAAAGTGCTCTTATAAAAGGTGCAGTGCACTAAAAACTAACTACCCAGTAAAGTAATTCCAAAAATTCTTTTAGCAAAGGACTAATTTTCTGACAAGAAGCCAGAGTCAGCATAGCAGGTTACGTGAAAGCCCTCAACTATCAGAGGATCTCTTCTGTTTCCTTTCTGACATAATGTCTCAAAATAGTAGGCAGTTCTCTGTCCTGCACTGGACCTTTCACTCAATGCTTGTTTCAGGCATTTATTTTATAAAATCAGCTTCTCTCTAGATTCGGGTGACCAGATGTCCCGATTTTTTATAGGGACAGTCCCAATATTTGGGGCTTTTTCTTATGTAGGTGCCTATTACCCCCCGACCCCACCCCCCGTCCCGATTTTTCACACTTTCTATCTGGTCACCCTACTCTAGATACTATATTGAAGCTGGAAGGGAAAAAATCTCTGCCTGAAAAATGTAGTTATCCTTAATCACCCACTAGTAGAGAAGCAAGATCCACTGCATTTCAAAAAGCCCTTATCTGATGGACTGTTTTAAGACTGTTTTCAGTGTAAATTAATTTTTTTTTCACAAAGGGAATTTGATATATGGTATTAACTGGGATTATTGTAGTGATATGACCTTTTGATAGGCTAGATATTTACCTCTGTTTGCTTAGGGTCTAATTCAGCTAAAATTATCTGATGCATGGAAGCTTTTTTAGCTCTAAAGAGAGGCTACGCACCTTCTATTAGATTTTGGACTTGCCACTTTTACTTCTCAAGGAAAGTGTGATTCTGCTCAGTATATTGCCATATATAGCAATGGGGCTGTAAGTGAATAAGTGTGCTGCCTGAGCTCCAAAATGTACCAGTGCATGAGCAAGTTCTTTCCTGTCTGGCTGAATGTCAGCCTGGAAAGAATTTTAACAGCCTGTGGTCCAAAGGTACCTCCAAAATAGAGGTTAATCAGAAAGATCCTTTAGTGATAAACTTTTGATTCTACAAGGTGTAGTATCTTCAGAATACATTTCTTGTGCAACTCGGAGCAGAGAAGTCTGTTTGTAGACAACATTGGGAAAGGAAGATCGTGCATGATAACCAGTTTATGTGAATGAAACACACATCATGCCAAACTTACCCAATATCTTCTTTTGACTTATTGGAATGGATAGATAAAGGAAATCATGGAAAAACTAACACTTCTTTCATGCAATTCCTGTAGTCAGTTTACTGCACAGGTGTTGAATTCAAGTTCTTGAAAATGCATTGCACATGGTGTCCCAAGTAAATAAGAGAGCATACAGTGCTGTCATAAAATGCGGGATTGAGTCTAATTGAAACATTATAAAAGTTCATTTTCTTTCTCTTCAGAATGTTTCCCAGTGTTACCCCAGAACTTGGCCTGTAGGTATATGCATCACAGTTTGTAATCATAACATGAGTTACTATTACTAACAAATATATATTTTAGAGTTACAGTTCCCCAAAATCAAAGTAGCTTCAGTGAAATTCTCTGAAAAGTGACTTTGGATATGTCTACACGGCAGTTAAACACTGGCCGCTGACTCGGGCTTGTGGGGCTGTAAAATTGTAGTGTAGATGTTCGGGCTCAGACGGGAGCCTGGGCTCTGAGACCCTCCCCCCTTGCAGGGTTCCAGAGCTTGGGCTCCAGCTTGAGCCCAAATGCATACACCACAATTTTACAGCCTTGCAGTCTGAGCTTCCCGAGCCCAAGCCAGCTGAATCAGGCCAGCTGCGGATGTTTGTTTGCTGTGTAAACGTTACCTTATAGACTTTACCAAACAGATCTGCTCACTGTATGTTCAGACATATGCTTGCTTTAGTGTCACAAATGTTTATTGCTTTTATTCTTTATTCATGTTAGAGTGAAAGCTGGATTCTACTCCTTTTGATCCACAGATTTGTTTACTAAATTTTAATCAGACCTGTGTAAACCTAGGGATGCTGTATTTTTGTCTGCAGAATGTTTATTACTGGTGGTTATTCTTGAGTAGGAAAGAACTCAGCTTGACTTTCAGATCCAAGAGAATGTCCAGTTCAGGCAAATAGCTTCCTATTCAGAGTGGAACTACATTTCTAAAGATGCTGAAGTCTAAGTTTTAGTTCTGTATAGATTATACTTCTCAAAGATTCATCAGCTTCGGTATTTTTCATTCTTATTGTGAGGCTTTCTTTAAAAATAGTAAGTCTTCAGATGATTACTACTGATGAGTGCTAGTACTGGTGGTTGCACGCAATGTAATTTAAAAATGAAGTTCTCCACAGGAAAATGAAATGATGTCATTTATTAATAACTAATATTTTGAAACCAGTTGATTTTTGCATTGTCCACAGTGTCAATATGATTAGAGAAAAGTGGAAATTTTTGCTCCTTTCATTTTCCAAAATGGCAGTTTCAGGATGTTATTTTTTCTAGAGCATACTGGAATACTTCAGAAGAATTAGATTTACAATAAAGCAAAACTTTTTTAAAAGGACTGTCAACAGCAGACTTCTAGTAAAATTAACTGTTCATTTCAGTTGTATTCATTTATGAAAAAAACAATTTGGGGTTTGGCTAACGTCATCCTGGAATTTTTTTTAAAGCTTCCAGTTGACCTGACCTCATTGCTTTTTCAATGCTTGTTTGTTGTATGTTTTTGTAAAATAAGGTATCTTATACCATGTCATTTTTGAAAAAATAGAAAATAACTTGTCTAATAAAATGTTTGGGTTTTGTTTTTAAACAGAACTACTTGGTATACGTAAACAGGCAACTGTAGGTTTTTTGACATTAATGGAATCTCTAAGATACTGTAAGGTAAGCTGCCTTTTTCCCCATCATTTTTAAGATGAGCTTTCTCTTGTGAGTTGCTCCTTAGCAGTATTCCATTAACACATCATCCTCTTCTGAAAATATTGCAGGTAGGCACTTCATCCTAAACTGTAGAAGAGTACAGTCTAAGAGTTATTGGTTTGTAGTATTTCTAGCCTCAAAAAGTGAAACCAAGGCTAAAAGTCTGTAATAAAATAACATTCTCTTTTTGGTTAGGCATGTAAATATATGTCTTGTGATGAGTAAACATTAAGAATTAACAGTTCGTGCTCTTCATTAATAGAATAATTAATTTATGTATTTTTGCCCTTTTCTTAGCCAAAAGAATGTTTAAATGTGAGATTCCAACCTTGCTCAAAAATACCATGCATTTTATAAAGTCCTGAACGCTTTAATTTGTACCAGAATTATAAGAAAAAGAAAAAAGTAGATACTAGCTACCCCATTTGTTAAACTAAAAAATCCCATACTTCAGTCATATGGAAAATAAAGACAAAAACGGAATAGCCAAAATGTGTAATTTTGGCAGATGTAGCATTTTAGTAGTGATGTATTTTAAAGCTAAGTTGGTGTGGTTCATTATTTGTGCATTGGTAGGAAGCTCTTAGATTTGCTTTTTACAAAGGAACTGCTTTGCAGCAAATTTAATGTAAGTAGAAGCTGGCACTGTTTTATACTTTAAATTTAAATTTAAATCCAAGTTGAGTTATGATTTTATGTATTGTAAGTTCCTTGTTCCAGTCTGTGCTGTGACTCCTAGATTAAAAAAAGTGCTTGAATATTTACTTATTACAATTTCTCTGTGCCAAAAACATTGACATCCAAGGGCAGGATGCTAACTTCATGTGTGCATCACTGCATATATCAAAATCTACTTAAATACAAACTCTGGCTATTTTGATATGTGGTGATACAGAAAATAAGTCTTCAACACTAAGTTTTTATTTAAGGGGCATTAGTATGCTTTTTACTACACTTGTAATATTTTGGATGCTTTGTTAATGTTTTCTGTTTATTTGGCATGCACTCTTGTTCTGGTAACATTTGTCAAAGGCTGGCTTCTTGGTGTTTATTTTCATACTACACTGAATCCTTTTGACTTGGCTATTGCTGTATAGAGAATTGTGTAGAATTTGCATATATTTAAAAGAATATTGACTACAAACCATGAACGTCTCTTCAAAGTTTAATCACTCAAATAAAAATAGATTAAAAAGATGCAGTGGTAGACTAAGGGAAGCATAAGTGCACCCCATGTAGTGCATATGGTGGTGTAGGGAGAGCTTTCACTTCTGAAGTGAGGGACCATCATGTTAGGTTGGCTTAATAAGGATAAAGAAATGCACCTGATTGTTCTGTTTTATTTTTGTCAGGTAACATAAATGAGTTTATAATCACAGGATCCACAGCCAAGTGCATAAAACAAATGGACTCCTACCTTAAGGGCCTGAATATACAAGCAAACACAAGAGTACAGTTACTTGCATGAACATTTGAAGGATTAGTCTCTAAGATTGTAAAATGAGATATTGCTGCTTTCTCCAACTGACACTTTCCCTTATTGAAATCTGCTCCCAATGTGCCAGGAGCAGCTATATTGTTTTCCAAATTACGCAGTGGAGTTTTGACATCCTGAGTATCCGATACTACTTTTTCCAGGACAGTTCGGAGTAGGGTGTTTGAGCAGTACAATCTCTGGAGATGAAACTGCCACATCTATTATTAAATTGGGCCAAATTGTGTGACATATTCTCTCAGGGGACAAGTTTAAAAACTCATTTAATATGCTACCTAAGATGTAGAATTATGATGTCTACAAACAAATTACTTTTGCATTAATCAACTTAAACACCTAACCCTTTCTTGTCACTTAATCCTCCTTTTTCAAAATAAGTTGGTAATTGTAGCTTTAAAAAAAAAAAAAAAAGGTTACTTCTAAATAGGATCTTTTCAATGTAAATAAACTACATTCATGTTGTAAGGCTCTCTATTCAGTTGCTTTCACCCTCTTCCCCCCTGCCCCCCCCCACTTTTTTTCCCCCCAAGCATAAACAGTGACTTAGGCCTCAGAGTTACAGCATACCACCAGCTCTTGACTTCGGTGGTGATTGAAGGCACTTGGCACTACACAGGATTGGGCCTAGTGCCATCTAATTTCCACTGATGGTTGGATTTACATGGCTAAATCACAGATCACCAATTATTAAGTGGGGGATATGGTAATCAAAAACAAATTTAGTAAAGTTTTTAAATACTACCTTCAAATTGTGACTGAATGTTAATTTTTTAATATTACAAATTGAGGGGGGGGGTTATTGGGGCTTCACTATAGCTGTAAGCTAGTTTGTTTATTTGTTTTTACTGCATCTTTTCTAGGTTGGCTCCTACTTGAAATCTCCAAAGTTTCCTATTTGGATACTTGGCAGTGAAACACATCTCACAGTCTTTTTTGCCAAGGTATGATAGCTTTGGTTTTTGTTATGACCCCAGGCAGATAAATACCATATAAGTCCAAAGTTCAGATCTTGCTAAAGTGTGAGTTTCAGCTGCCTTTAATACAAAAATCGAATCACTGAACATTTAAAACAAGCCCTTCCCTTAAAAACAAGTTTCACAGTTTGTGCTATCTTTATAGTGTCTTTAAGCTTAAACTTGCATTTTAAAAAAGAGAGGTTGTTTAAGCTACTAATATATTTTAGGCTTTACAGTGCTATAGATGTTACGTCTGAGATGTTAAATTGCTATAGTTGTGGGGAGGTTTGTTTGAATAAAATATATGGGGTTTCTTTGCAATTCCACCTGTTTGGAAATATTTTTATCCATTTTTAAAGCATATGAGGTACAGAAATCTGTACTGTAAGCTCGAGTATACATACACCTCTACCCCGATATAATGCGACCCGATATAACACGTATTCGGATATAACGCAGTAAAGCAGTGCTCCGGGGTGGCAGGGCTGCGCAGTCCAGCGGATCAAAGCAAGTTCGATAGAATGCGGTTTCACCTATAACGCGGTAAGATTTTTTGGCTCCTGAGGACAGCGTTATATCGGGGTAGAGGTATACTAAATGTTTAGAATTAGTACATCATATCAGGAAAACTTTAACATTTAGGATTTAAGCTTTAACTATAAACCATTACACTTAAAGTATAAAACATTTGAGTTAACAGTTCCTAATGAACTCGTAAATCGTATGTTGAATTTTCTCTAGACACGTATTTCCATAGTTGTGGTTGAGACATTGTCCCTTGTGAGTCAAACTTTTTACCTTCTTCTCTGAAAAGCTGCTTTCTGCATAAGTGAATCTTTGATTTTAGGAAATGGCTTTTAATTTGTGGAAAGTTTTTTTGCAGTTTTGCCCATTCCTAATTCAACACTTTACAATGAAGTCTTCTTTTAGATCGTAATTCTGAAACAAGGGACAAAGTTTAAGTACAGAATTCTTTAGCTATTAAAAAATGGTCTCTGTATTATAGTTTCCAGGAGAGTTCTTCCTGCTCTCTGCTCAATCTTTGTGTTCAAATCCTCCTAAAAACTCAATTGTGATGTGAAGCCTGCATGAGGTGAAGGGCAGAATAGCCAACTTGTCAATAAATAAGAGGCTGGTTTATCAAGATATGTAGAAGTGCCATTCTGACCAGCTAAATGATCTTTTTTTCATCTTGCCTTTGTCTCCCTCTTTATCTGCTGCCTATTTGACCTTCACTTGTCATTACACATGTGATTTTTGTTAACTTAGTAACAGGGACTCTTTGCTTGTTTGAGGAGTCTCATGTTGTTGGGCATTCATAAAAGTACTAGATGATCTCCTGAGGTCCCTTCCAACCCTGATATTCTATGATTACTACTTCCGTTAAACTGTCATAAATTTTTCCTAAATTAGAATAATAAAAACATAGGACTGGAAGGGACCTCAATAGGTCATCTAATCCAGTCCCCTTCACTGAGGCAGAACTAAGTATTATCTAAACCAGGGGTTCTCAAACTTCATTTCACTGCGACCCCCTTCTGACAACAATAAATTATTACATGACTCCAGGAGGGGGGACTGAAGCCTGAGCCTGCCTGAGTCCCACTGCCCCGGGGAGGGGGGCGGGCAGGACAAAGCCAAAGCCTGAGCCCCATTGCCCCAGGTGGGGAAGGGGTTAAAGGCAAAGGATTCTGCCCCAGCTAGGGGGCCTGTAACCTGAGCCCTCTTTCAACACATCTGCCTCCTACTTCTGTCTCAACCTCAGTGCAAGTTTATAAATCTTTGCTATACAAGGCAACTCCTCCCTCTTTTCCCTGGTGACCTTCCATAGCAAATGTAGGTATTATACTTCTTATGAAGATCTAATATGTGTAGCCCTTGTGATTTCATCATAAGTAATGTAATTTTGGCCCCTGCTGGAGCCATTCTTGTGCTGAGACTAGACACTTCAACCTTCATGTGAATTTCAGCCCTGTGTGTGGTAAAACAGCTGATTGCCTTCTCCCACTTCCCTGTTTCCTGGGGGGAAGCAGCCAATGAAGAAGCAAGCAGTCCCTCTCTTCCCCCACCCATGACTAAGATGAGTTTGTGGGGCTGGGGAGCAGGAACAGGTTGGCTCTGCACCTTCCTGCCCACGCCACTCCTGTGACAAATGAGTCTGCTCCTCTTGGCTCCTTCCCCTCCCATCCCTTCATCCCTGTAACACTTGGTGTGGAAAAGGTGGTGAAGACCCCCTGGATTGGGGGAGGGGGGGCGGTAATGAAGGAAAAGGGTGTTCACAGCTTCAAGAATTCACTCCTGTTGGCATACCCCTGGGAGAGGGGGAAGAGGACCCTGCTGTAGTTGCTCCCCAGGCCTAAGAGGGGTGAAGGTGAAGGTCCCCTGGAGCTGCAGGAGGAGCAGAATTTCACTATGTGGCTTAGGGCAGACTTGATGTGAGAGTGGAGGGTGCATGATTAACTGCTGAGCTTTAAGACAGGCAGATCTGAGCACAGAAGGGGACATAACTATTTTGGAGTTTGGGGAGAAGCTGTAAGATTTACTTCATCAGGCAGCCAGTGAGAGTGTCTGTAGTGGGGACCAAAATCGCATTATTCTATGAATTTGGGAGAGTTGGCACCACTTACTGCTGCATGCGCGCTGGGAGTTGACAGGGGGAGTTAAATCAAGATAGACCCAAAACCAAAAATTAAAAAAAAAAAGATTTTTGGGAGGTCTGACTGACTTTTGAACTCTGGGGGTTGGCAGTACTGGGGTGTTGACTCCTTGGTATGAGATTGAGGAAACTTTAGTAGCTCATAAGGTTTTTTAACTCTTGAAACCACAAGCAGAAAAGTAGAGTATGATCCAAGTCCCTATGCACATTCATGAAGTGCCCTGAAATTAAGAAAAAGAATCTTGAACCTGAAGCAGTAGAAAAAGAAGTCATTGGAAGGATTTATAGACAGGAAGATGGGAACAGAGCCATAGGCAAAAACGACTATCACAACTTCATTTTGTATGGGCCGAAGTGGGTGATATGTGGATGTTTAGGAGGCTGGAGAGGAGGATCTACGGTCTGGATGAGAGGGACAGAAAGAAAAGATCTTGTGAAAGTGTCAGGATTAAGATGCTGAGTGGATGTGAGAGAAGAGGTAAAAATTGGCTGATACTTGAAATCAGAGGCATGAGTGACAGGTATGTTGAGCACTGGCAGAGAATCATGGGAGTTTTGTAGAAAGATCGCGAGGAGTTTTAGCTGTTGGTAGTATTCAGAACTTCTGCTAACAAGTTTGAATTGGATCAGGCTACTGAGGCACTTGCTACCTCTTGCAAACTTTACAAGTCCCCTGTTCGGATCAGAAGTAGGCAGGGCTTCATGAGGGATCACTGTCTAGGTATATGAAGAGGAAATACTGTCTCCAGCATTCTGAAGCATTCTTAATCAAGATTTACAAACTTCAACACAGAGGTCATTAAGCTGAACAGGTACTGCATATTTTACTTATGAATCTTTGTGGCATTTGCACTTAGAGAATCAAGTCAACATGGTGAAAATATTTCTAACTGGTTTCAGAAATCAAAAACAAAGCTGTTTTGAATATTTGTAAGTTTTCTAAGGTTGCTAACTAACCTTATCACAAAGTGCACACTGTAAGTATAAACATCTAAGGTTATTGTTCATGGTTGGGTGATGTAGACCAGGGTTCTCAACCTTTTTCTTTGAGGCCCCCCGTAACATGCTATAGAAATTCCAGGGCCCAGCAGGGAGGTGGGTCTCGGCTCCACGGGATGCCGGGGCTTCATCCCCGTAGTTCCACTCCTGGCTTCAGCTCTGCTGGGGCTTGGGGTGCCTGCCTTCAGCCCTGCTGGGGCTCGGGGTTTCAGCCTTGTGGGGGGCCACAGATCCCTGGTTGAGAACGGCTGATGTAGACCATGAAAATGTATCTGTATATATGCCCTTAGGAGAATAAGCAAATTATTTCTTTTTGTAAAAAGATTTCTTATCCGTTTTCTTTGGAAGATGGATGTTAGCTGTTACACTTAAAGTTCCAACTTCCTGGAAGTCCAAACCAGACCTTAGACCTTAGAGGTGTGTTACATATCGTCACATGGCACATGTTAACACTGGATACAGCACAGCACTTGTCAAAGAACTCACCCATTTCAAGATCAAAATCGCTGATATCACAGGACCATCTGTCGCAAAGTGATCAAGTTACTGTGGAAGGATCAATCTTTCTCCACTCCAGTGGTCCACACTGAATTCAGGGTGTGGTGTTTTGTTAGAGGTTGTCAGACCGCTTTAAGCACACGGAACCCCATCTCTCCACACTTACTTTACGCTTGGCTCCAACATTGTCGTGGACACCTATCCGTCATTATGGCCTTCCCACCATCAGAAGGAGCATTACCTGCGGAAAAGGATGCATTCTGCCACCAGCTAGCAGCAAAGCCAGTCAATTCTGCTAGTGCTCGGAGACTTCAATGCTGTGACTGGCTGTAAATTAAATGGGTGTGAAACTGTGCCAGCGTCCTTCAGTTCAGGTTCCCCAAATGACAATACCATCCAGCTTTTTAACATTGTGTGCCCATGAGGGCTTGTCTGTCATGGGTTTCTGGTTTAAGCACGCACCTTAATCATCACTGGCCTTGATTTTCATACAATGGATGTGCCATGAAGGAAATTAATCACATCCTCATCAAAAACCACTCCATAGGGAAATCTCCTTAGGTTTAGAAGCACCAGCAAACTCAAACCATAGACTACTTGTGCAGCTCTCTGCATTTTCCAACTCCTCACAAGCCAGATGTCCACCAACAGTACAACATCCAGCATCTATCCGAGGATCCTGTTGAAGCAGCAAAATACACAAGGCCATCGAGGATCACATATGTAAGCTCAGTACCGTATCAGATGATGTGGAGATCATCTGGACTTGGTTTACCTAATGCTGTATTACATGCCATGGCTAAATCAATGTCAGACACTTGTGCAAGAAACC